TATTATTTTTAATTATTTATAATAAATTTCATTATAATAGGATACAACCATTATGTTGTATTTAGTGTCTCCCAAAACTATTTCCTAAATTTAAAAATAAAATGGAGATGGTGTCTCTTTGTTTCAAAGCAATTTATTAACAAATTTTTTAAATCAAAATTTTATTTTTGCTTTCTGCCCATCAATCTGGAAATAATGATAGCTCATAAGAAAAAAAGCACCAATTATTTTTCAGATTAAAACACACATCCTGCTGTGCCTTCTATTTTATAACTTTCAACTAAGTTACAAGTGACAGCATAAATCAAAACCTAATTTTAATGATATTGAAGGGATAGCAAACATAATGGCTATATCATGCTTAGGATATATATATCTAAATATTTTACCACTCCATGACCATGAAAAAATTAAACATTCTAATGATGTATATGTCATTATAAAGTCAAATATGAAAAACAATATGCAAATCAGCCACAAAATGAAGATGACCATAAAATGACACATAAAATAGTCCACACAAATTAGGTTGGATTCATCCAGAAAAAATTACTTGCTCAGAAGAAAAGCAACTAAAGCCATCATAGCTGTACCAAAAAAAAAAAAAAAAAAAAAAAAAAAAAAAAAAAAAAAAAAAACAACTTGCAAAGTTTTAAAAAGCAATACTGATGAAATTTTAATTAACTAATATACACATCTTTTCAATTTCTAATCCTAAAAACCTGACTGAAGTCCCCAAAGCAAACACTATACACAACTGTTTGCCATTAAACCCACAACCATGCTATTTTTCTAACAGGTATTTGCCCACATTGTGCCCCTCTCTGCCTATAAACTCTCCTCAAGATCTACAACTCAAAATCAGGTAGGAAGCATGCCCTTCCTCTGTATTCTCAAAACAACTTATGCAGTTTGTATCTCTGCCTTCTTCAGTAGACCATGACTCCTTAAGACCAAAAACCATGTTTTATTTATATTTAGCTCCTGATTGCTTACAGAAGTACACTTAGCCCTCATAAGAGGCATATAAGAAAAATTGGCTCTTTGAATTTCTTCAGTGAGAAATAAAGTTTTATTGCCTAAAAAAATAAAATGAACTTCATCGGTCATAGCCAAAACAACAGTACACAAGTCAAATGAAAATTAACGGCACAAGCTGGTCTGTGACAGAGGTTCTTTACTCCTGTTTGAAAGCTTTGTGTAGTAAAACTGCCACGTGCGTCAGTATTATACAAACATGGAAACAAGAAATTCCTTGCCTTCGATTAGTTGTTAATAAATTATTTAACAAAGTGCATTTGCCAATACACAGAGGCTACCTCCCTTCTTCCAGTAACTTTTCTCCAGGACTTTCTTTCTTCAAAACTGTAACTCTCCAGGACCTTCCTTTATTTCCTCAATTTCTGCTTATCCCACACCCAGGTGGCAAAGAATCCTCTAAGGGAAAGCAGTGGCAAAATTGGAAGGCCCATATTCAAAACAGAGGCACAGTTTTAGGAAAAGCAAAATTATTCACACTGATAGTCTAATCTATTATTAAACAGATACAAAATTATGAAATAGAAAATGATTACTTAAAAAGATGTGACTCTGAATGACCCATGATGTCTCCATACATGAAATATGTAGAATAGAACCTATCTATCTCTTGGCCCACAAGTATTAAACCCACTGAGTATCCCACTTATTATAGGCTCCTAAATATAAACAAGTGACAATTAATTTCTTATCCTGTTAGGTGATCAGTTTCCAGTGAGGTTAGAGAGGTCATTCTATGACATTATGAAGATGAAGATAGTCTCCAATTTTGAAGTAAAAAAAAAAAAAAAACAAAATAAACAAAAGAAAAAAATGAGGGTTCAATTTTGGCATTAATCCCAGATTTCAATTTTTATTCTATTAGGGGTATTCTGCTTACAACAGAGCTCACTTTAAATGGGACCAAAAAACCCAAAACTTTTGAAAAACTGATTTTAAAGTACTACCCATTAAGAACTTTTGGGGTTCTGGTAAGACCATTAAATAGTCACTAGAAGTAAACTCTCTAACTTCTAGTGCTCATTTAAATGCCTGTTAACTCTTCAAGAAAATTTCTATTTTCCTAACACCAATGACAATCATTTAACTAAATAACTAAATAAAGGCTATTTTTTTTTCTCTTTTATTTTTCAAACTTCAAAAATGGGCATGGTAATACTAAAACAATGTGGATATTAAAAGTACATTCTTATAGAAGTCTGAAATAAAAAGGTAAATGACTTTATATCACATATAATAGTCAAAGATCATCAAGATAAGACTAAATAATAATGCTAAAAATAGCATTAAATTGATGCAAAATGAAGCAAACTAAAAAAAAAATTTCTACACACACAAAGAAAACATCTTAAAATAGCAGTTAAATTCATTATCTAGAAAAGTAGGTTCAAATTATTTAAGAAAATAGAGCCAAAAGTGATTTCATACTCAGTGAACTCTATTTGAGAGACTCCAGGAACCAATAGCAACCTCTCAAGATCTCAGAAAAACCCAGTGCTTGAAACACATAAATATTTAGCAGGATATGAACAACATATCACCCCTCCCCCTCTAAGAACACACCACCAACAACAAATGGTCTCAACCCTTAGCCGCCCAATAAAAGCTTGCAACCTCTGAAGGTTCCTATATCTAAATATAGGAATTTTTACCCAAAAAAGGCTTCAACTCTTTGAAGCCCAGAGGCTCCAATGTTAACAGAAGTAAAAAGCAAACCAGAATATTGCCACAACAATATTCAACCTATATCCTTATTTCCCATAGAGCAACATGTAACATCCTGGCTGTCTATAGTTCCTGTCTTACTTTAACAACCTCCAAATGTCAGGCATGTGTTTTCTAATCAAAGATTCCTAGACCCTTGATTTCTGAGTCTTACACTTCCCTAAATTCTCTCCCTACTTCTCCTCTCACAATTGCCTCTAACTCAATCTTCGCTCACATTTTAGTCAACTGCAATAAGGATTTTTATGTTACTTCCTATAGACAAGGCCTCAAGCCTTGTGTAGTGCATCCAAACAAGCTTTAGTATTTAATCAAAAGTTTTGGCTTACATTTGGGTCTTAGGTCTTCTCTCTGATCGTAATTAGAAACTGAGAAAATATACGAAACACAAATTGTCCAATTTTTTATTATAAGTGGCTTTTAGATAAGGTTGATAAAATCTGAAATAGATGACAAAGCAAACTGTGCCCTCTAAGTATTTCATTTACTGAAGCTAATTTTATCCCTAAATAACATAATCAAGTTGGGAATACTATACCTAAATAGGGGTTTTCTTTGGGAACTATAAGGTCAATACGAGTTAATTATGGTCCAAGGACTCAAGTAAAAACCATGTTAATAATGGGATTAAAAGCTGATGAAAACTCTCTGGTTCCATATAATATCTTCTTTATGGGATAACAAGATGAGCAAATCACATCTAAACAGAAAATCTGACATAAACTAAGATTATATTTTAAGTATCTTAGAAATTTCAGTGAAGATAAATTTGTTAAGGGAAATGAGTGGGGGCAGAAATATGCTTCAGTAATACCATGTTAGGTCAGACACAAGTATCCTGGGAAAATCTTGCTCAGCCAACTAATTATCTATATTCCACTCCAAAAAAATAATTTGATCCATTTTTCTCTAGGAACCGTACTTTGAATTATTTGCTGTCCATATAAAGATAAACTAAACTTAAACTGCCCATATAAAATTATCTTTAAACTTCTTATTGAAAGAAAAAATGGAAGGTTTCTATTTTGTGTATTAATGAAAATTATACATAAGAATTTACTCACTTGTATGACAGTAAAATTCCCAAATATTTCCAACTAATAATTGAGGACATTACTGAAAAGTTTCTTTCCAAGAAACCCTACCATAAGTCCTAATCATCAGGATCTCCTAAAAATATGCATACCATAGGAGTGGCTACAATGGATAAGCACTGTATAAAATCGATCCAAACAATACATAAAATTCCCTCTCCCCTTGAAAATGGTTTTCTTTATAGACTGCCTTCTCTTGACAAATGTGATAATATCAATTTTAAACAGATATAAGCTCCAGCAGTATGGTTCTGCAACCATATAACAAATCAATTTTAAGCTAAGAGTTTGACAATTATAATCAAGAAATAATTATAATCCTTAGTAGGAAACTTTTCCTTTTTATTGTTATTTTCAAGAAACCACTATTCTTCTACCAAATATTATTTGAGGTACAAAATAATCACCGACTAAAATCCATAGCTTCGTTTAAAAAAAAAATAGAACTGAGAAAAACTGGTTGTAGAGGAGAGACTAACATAATAAAAAACAGAAGTACGAAAATACCAGAGTGGTATTACATCTCTTCCTTCACAATACCAAATATTTTGTTACCATGTGGCCCAAAGCCTTTTTAATTATCCCTCAAAGGCTTTAGAAAAACTTTTTTAAAAGCATGAAATTAGAGAGAACGGTCATAAACATCTCTTAGTGATGCTTTTTGTCTTTCATGAGTAATGACAAATTTCCAGATTGGTGAGCATAAGGCTGTGTCTACACATGACCCATCTGAAATACGTCTGATTTTACTAATCTCTACCCCCACTCCCCAAAATGATTACTGTGTAGACTTCACCAAAGATGCAGGGACAAATTACTTAGAAATTGGTTTAAGTAACATCCTATAAGTTATATAGAAATTATTTCAAATGAGGATTAGTTATTACAAAAACAATAAATTTATGAAATAGGATCATGAACTCTATAAAATGAATCAAAACCAAATTTTCCCCTAACTAAAGTTTAAAAAGCTAGATACAGGAATATTATACAGGAGAAAAGTCTCAACAAAATTTACCATGAATTCATAAAACTGAAGTAAAATTTATGTTAAATATCACTGTTGAGTTCAAAATAATTTATAATAATAGTATTTCCTAATTTCATACTGTACAATATTATTTAAAGTATTTTTAAACTTACCCAAATGAAGTAGCGTAAACTGGGCTGCCAGTTCCTTTGCATCTTCTAAGGTAGTACAGAGTTTGTCAGGCATAAAATAACTCTGGGATCCATTTGCAATAGCAGGAATAACAATTTTATATACCAAGAGTACTTTCCCATCTTGACTTGTTGTTGAATATAAATAATATTCTGGTGGTGCCCAATTATTTTTGTTGCAGTAATAATCCAAATGCATTACTGCAGAATTGAAATGATTGGATTTTAAAGAATACATACTAATTGGAGTAAGCTTTGTTCCAGGAAAAAATGGGTAAGTGCATCTTTCGATTTCAGGAGGACTTGGGCTATGCTGACCATTGAGACGAGCTGGAAGAGTTGGTGGCTTGCCTAGAGTTTTTGGGTGGCTCTCTTCTTTGTTAGCAAACACAATCAGGTTTTCAGAATTAGGGCTAATCTGGCCATTAAGGTGCTGTCTCCAAGTGCTTTCTTTATTTACTGGTTTTGCCAGTGTTACCTCAATACTTGCTCCATCAATGCATTTTCCATTCATAACAGACATAGCAGCCACTGCATCTTCTCGGTTGAAAAAGTGAACAAAAGCATAATCTCTAAGTTTCTTTACTCGCTCAACTGCACCAGGTTTGAATTTGTTGAATTCTGCTTTAATTGTTTCCTCTGTAGTTGAGATCATTAAATTTCTTACATAGAGAACTTTAACTCTCTGCATTGTTTCCTCGTCAACCTCTTTCTCTGGGTCAGCCCAATCTACCTGAATGGTATGGCCCCATAGTTGGAATGTACCTGTAAAAGAGAATAAATTACCCTGAAGACAGTTAAAATAATTAAAAGTCAAAAACTATTCAGTAAAATTTTCTCCAAAGAATCAGGAACTCACATACCCATCAGTAGTAGTAAACATTAATTTCTCACATGGAAGTCACATGGAAGTTTTTACTAAGGCAATCCAGCCAGAACTTACAGAATTCATTTTAAGAGCAAACAGAACAAATTTAAGAGCAAAAGAACAAATACACTTCAAAAATAGACCTTTATCAGAAGAATTATAGGTACTATCCTTTGGATTTTTATCAAACAACAATAAAAGTGTATACATTCAGTAAATTAGTATATTATTATAGATAATGACTCTTCTTGTCATTTAGAAGATAGGAGCAACTTCTTGTCTTTTAGAAGCATTTATTTTACTTCCTTATGCAAAACATCTCTATACCTCTTTAAGGGCATTACACAGTTTCAAAATATCGAAGAAGTGCTGTCATTTTTCCATATTTATAATAAGACTGACACGAAAAAGTAAACTTTAAAAGGTCAAGTTTACCTGGAATTAGTTTTCTCCTAGCCATAGCAGCAGCTCTGTGAGATTCATATTCAACAAATGCAAAACCACGATTTTTGGTCTTATCAGTTGCACTTGGATAAACAATGACATCTACAACTCCTTCTGTAACTTTCTTCATTTCATCCAAAATTTCTTCTTTCTTCTTTTCCTTAGGAATAGCTCCAATAAATAGCCTGCAATTATCCAAGCTTACACACACACCAATAAACTTCCCTGGTCGAATCTCATAATTATTAAGAATTCTGATGGCTAACTGGGCTTCTTCTTTTGTAGTGTACATCACAAAAGCATAACCGCGATTTTCACCACTAAATTCCATCATAAGTCGAAATTCATATATCTTTCCAGCTCTTTCAAATACAGGAACTAACTCATCTTCATACATATCACGAGGTATTTTTCCTACAAAAACTTCACAGCCTCTAGGTGGAGGTGGACCTTCCCAACCTAAAAGACAAAGATAAACAAATTCTAGTAAGATATTTTGATACACCATTCAATGATTCAGTCATTCCACAAATTTACAGTGCCTCCTATGTACTGTGCACTACTCTAGATGTTGAGGATACAACAGTGCACAAAACAGAAGACCCTTCCCTCATAAGGCATATATATTCAACAGAGAACATAAACATAACTGATAAAGGCTATGAAGAAAAAGCCAGAAAAGAGTTGATACTTTTAGCAGTCAGGTAAATCTCCTCTGAACACATGAGGTTTAAAGCAGAGACCTGAATGAAATGAGGGAATAAGCTTTGAGAATATATCATTACGAAGAAAGCAAGAGCTTTATACATTAAAACAACAAAGAACACACGGGCCTGTATGACTAACGTACTTGAAGCAATATTCAAGTGGTAGTCAGTGCCACTGACTAGAGGCCAAGATTTTATTTTAAGTGTGATAGAAAGCTAATGGGAGGGTGCTGAGCAAAGAAACAGCACTGGCTACTAGTAGAAAGGCAAAACATATTTATTTAGCTGTTTGCATCTGGTTTGCCTCTAGTATAAACACCACTCCTGTACTCACTGCTCTTTCAAAATCCTCCCCAAACCCTATCCCTCTCCTTTAATAGCTAGAATACTCTTTTCCCCAGTAACCCAAACCTGACTTCTTTATAAACCCATCTAGAAAACCTAAAAGACTCCACCAAGACACTGCTAGAACTGATACACAAATTCAGCGAAGACACAGGATATAAAATCAACATACAGAAATCTGTTGCATTTCTGTACACCAAAAATGAAAAAGCAGAAAGAAAAATCAAGGTATAGATCCCATTTACAATTGCACCAAAAACCATAAGATACCAAGGAATAAACCTAAGCAAAGAGATGAAGACCTGTGCACTGAAAACTATAGAACACTTATGAAAGAAATTGAAGAGGACACAAAGAAATGGAAAAGCATTCCATGCTCATAGATTGGAAGAAAAATTTTGTTAAAATGTTCACACTACCCAAAGCAATCTACAATTTTTTTTATTTTTTTTTTAACATTTATTTATTTTTGAGACAGAGAGAGACAGAGTATGAACAGGGGAGGGTCAGAGAGAGAGGGAGACACAGAATCTGAAACAGGCTCCAGGCTCTGGGCTATCAGCACAGAGCCCAACACGGGGCTCGAACTCACAGACCACGAGATCATGACCTAAGCCGAAGTCGGACGCTTAACCAACCGAGCCATCCAGGCACCCCTCAAAGCAATCTACATATTTAATACAATCCCTATCAAAATACCACCAGCATGTTTCACAGAGCTAAAACAAACAATCTTAAAATTTGTACAGAACCACAAAAAACACCAAATAGCCAAAGCAATCTTAAAAAGAAAAAGCTGAAGTATAACAATTCAGACTTCAAGCTATGTTACAAAGCTGTAGTCATCAAGACAGTATGGTACTGGCACAAAAACAGACATGTAGATCAATGGAACAGAACAAAAAATCCAGAAATGGACCCACAACTATATAGTCAACTAATCTTCAACAAAGCAGGAAAGAATATCGGATGGACAAAAGATAGTCTCTTCAATAAATGGTGTTGGAAAAACTGGACATCATACAAAAGAATGAAACTAGACCACTTTCTTACTCTATACACAAAAATAAATTCAAAATGGGTGAAAGACCTAAATGTGAGACAGGAAATCATCAAAATCCTAGAGGAGAACACAGGCAATAACCTCTGTGACTTTGGCTGTAGAAACTTCTTACTAGACCGGTCTCCAGAGGCAAGGGTAACAAAAGCAAAAATGAATGACTAGGACTTCATCAAGATAAAAAGCACAGTGAAGGAAACCATCAACAAAAAGCAACCTATGGAATGGAAGAAGATATTTGCAAATGACATATCAGAGAAAAGGTTAGTATCCAAAATCTATAAAGAGCTTATCAAACTCAACACCCAAAAAGCAAATAATCCAATTAATAAACAAGTGGAAGACACGAACAGACACTTCTCTAAAGAAGACATCCAGATGGCCAAGAGACACATGAAAAGATGCTCAACATCACTAATCGTCAGGGAAATATAAATCAAAACTACAATGAGATACCACCTCACATCTGTCAGAATGGCTAAAATTAACAACATAGGGAACAACACATGTTGAGAAGGATGTGAAGAAAAAGGAACCCTCTTGCACTGTTGATGGGAATGCAAAGTAGTGCATCCACTCTGGAAAACAGTACAGAGGTTTCTCAAAAGTTAAAAATAGAACTACCCTACAACCCAGCAATTGCACTACTGGGTATTTACCCAAAGGATACAAAAATACTGATTTGAAGGGGCACATGTACCCCGATGTTTATAGAAGCATTGTCAATGATAGCCAAATTATGGAAAGAGCCCAAATGTCCATCAGCTGATGAATGGATAAAGAAGATATGGTGTGTGTGTGTGTGTGTGTGTGTGTGTGTGTGTGTGTGTGTGTGTGCATATATATAATGGAATATTATTCAGCCATCAAAAAGAATGAAATCTTGCCATTTGCAATGATGTGGATACAGCTAGAGCATATTATGCTAAGTGAAATAGACAAATGCTGTATGATTTCCCTCACATGTAGAATTTAAGAAACAAAACAGATGGACATAGGGGAGGGGGAAAAAAGAGAGGGAAGCAGACCACAAGAGACTCTTAACTATAGAGAACAAACTGAAGGTTGCTAGAGGGGAGTTTAGGGAGGATGGGCTAAATAGGTGATAGGTATTAAGGAGGGCACTTGTGTTAAGCACCTGGTGTTTGTTACATGTCAATGATAAATCATTAAATTCTACTCGTGAAACCAATATTACACTATATGTTAACTAACTAGAATTTAATAAAATTTTGAGAAAAAAAAACCACCCAACTTCCTTCTCAGCTGTTTCTTAATCAAGAGCAGAGTTGAAAAAAATGTAAAGGTCAAACATGCATAACACCTATAATATTACACATTATTATATGTGCATAACATATATAATAATACCTCTTTTCTCTCACAACTATAAAAATGATTACTAAGATCTTAAAGCAGTTATAAGAAAAAAAAACTGATACTAATGATATATGCACCTAATGTACATTAAAGATACAATTTTTTTGAACATAAATACATCCACACCTGGAGGAGGACCACCAAATTTCCTTTGCCCATTTTCTTGAACCATGTTGTAACCAGTCTTTTCCATCAAAGCAAGTAATGCTGCTTCATTCTGAGTACCAGTTCTGACTTTACTGCATCCATTTATTCCATCTATGTTTTCTTCATTCATGGTTGCAATTCCTAAAACAAAATTCAAAAAAGTGTTTATGACATGAAGCACCAGGAATCTATGAAGGAGTCCTCTAGGTTGCAAGAAACCAAAAACAGTGTGGCTGCTAACATCTGATGATCACTGTGGTCTTGCCCACTAAGTCCTGCTCTACAGCAGAAGCTAGAAATTCCATTTAATGTCACTGATCAATTAAGCAGTACCTTTAGAAGGCCTAAGCTACAACAAAGGGAGGCAAAAGTGAAAAAGAGAAAAAAACACAAATAAATGAAAAGGAGTTAGAGAAGAGAAGAGAAAGCAGAAGGAGTAACAAAATAAATATACTGCCATCAGTGAATATATTATCACTGCTGATCTATATGGCCCAAGGTTTATTTTATCATACAGGCCAACTGGATTTTACTGTGCCTTACAATTCTCAGATAAATGTAGCCTAATGCCAATATAGCTCATATTGTCAGCAATCTCTAAGAACTCCAACAGTTATCAGAAATTGAACAGACGCTTGGAGTAAGTAAACAGAATTTCAAACCAGTCCCTGTTCCTAAAAGAAGCTACTAAAGAACGTAGGTTATCACAACCACTTGTCCTCCGAGCAGAAACAGGAACTACTGTGTTTTCCAACTAGCAGCAGCTTAAGAATTACATCGGTGGGTAGGCAGGAACTAGAAAGAACCTGAGATCTCTGCTGACCACTGTACATAAAAATGTGTTTTTAGTTTTTTTAAATGAACTTAATTACAATGTCGTTAGGTTATCGGAAAATTCACACTGATCCTAAAGATTATTTTTTTCTGTTTATTAATTGTACGTCTCTCTCCTTTGGTATTACTATGAACAAATACAAAAATTAAAATCCACAGTCTGGGAAATGCACTGGGAAAGCCATTTTGGCTTTCAACAGAACTTTGGTAATTATAAATGGAAACTAAATCACTGTAGCACAGCATTTCAAATTCACCTCAATTTCACACTTAGTTCTGCCATTTTCTAGCTGTGCAAACTTGATCAGCTCATTGTTTCCTTGCTTATTATAAAATGGGAGTACCGGGGTGCCTGGGTGGCTCAGTCAGTTAAGCAACCATCTTCAGCTCAGGTCATGATTTTGCAGTTCCTGAGTTCAAGCCCCACATTGGGCTCTATGCCAACAACTCAGAGCCTGGAGCCTGCTAAGGATTCTGTGTCTCCCTCTCTCTCTGCCCTTCCCCCACTCATGTTGTCTGTCTGTCTCTCTCTCTCTCTCTCTCTCAAAAATAAACAGTAAAAAAAATTTTTTTTTAAATGGGAGTCCAATATAAGTTATTGCAAGGTTGCTGTTAGGATTCAGTGAGGCAATGATTAAAAGTTTTGTTAGAATTACCTAAGGCCAAATAAAGGTTAGTTTTGATTAATACTAGAGAGGAGCACATCTTAACTTTTCACATACCCACACTGTTTTTGCTTTTTTCAGAAACATTTTGTGCATTTTCTCAATGTTGTGTGGGCGGGGGGTGGGATATGGTAGACACATATCTAGGGAAGAGTATTTGCATCTCTACAGTGGATAGAGGATAGGAATGCAGAAGACATCACCAAAGAATCACTGCTCTAAAGTAAGTGAAACTGTCACTGTAGTTATACTCACTAGTACTTAATATAGCACAACAGCTCTGAAGCCAGACTGCCTGGATTCAAATCCTTTTTTGCTTACCAGCTATAATTTTCAGTAAGTTACTTAGTCCTTCTGTATCTTAATTTCCTCATCTTTAAAATGTGAATAATAGGGCACCCGGGTGGCTCAGTCATTTAAGGTGCCAATTCTTGATTTCGGCTCAGGTCATGAGCTCATGGTCTCTGAGATGAAGCCCACGTTGGACTCTGTGCTGGCAGCACAGAGCTTGCTTGGGATTCTCTCTCTCTGCTCTCTCTGCCCCTCCACAACTTGTTCTCACTCTGTCTCAAATAAACATTAAAAAAAAGTTTTAAGGGGCGCCTGGGTGGCGCAGTCGGTTGGGCGTCTGACTTCAGCCAGGTCACGATCTCGCGGTCCGTGAGTTCGAGCCCCGCGTCGGGCTCTGGGCTGATGGCTCAGAGCCTGGAGCCTGTTTCAGATTCTGTGTCTCCCTCTCTCTCTGCCCCTCCCCCGTTCACGCTCTGTCTCTCTCTGTCCCAAAAATAAATAAACGTTGAAAAAAAAAATTAAAAAAAAAAAAAAAAGTTTTAAAAATAAATAAAATGAGGATAATAACACTGCCTATCTGATAGCCTTAATGAATATTAACACAAATACTAATTTTATGCATATATCAGAACCTTTAAAATCACTAACATCTATGAATAACTATAGCTTAAAATCCAGATATTTATCTTTACAGTAACTGATTTCAGAACAAAAGTATGACACCAGATAGAAAGAAACAGGCTTGAGAATAAGACTCAGAAGTTCAGTTTATTTAGTAGCCTATTATAAAGCCATGGAATTTCTACACATTACCTCTAGTTTGTACAACTACTAAAAGAGAGTCTCAACTTTGCTAAAAGAAAATACTATTTCCACAGATGAAAAAACGCAGGCTAACAAAGAAATTATCCAAGATCACAGAGCCAGAAAGCGGCACAGACAGAATTCAATTCCAGGTCTGTCTGATGCTAAATATCCCCTCCTGCCAAGAAAATGATTTTGACATACCTTTTGCCGCAACATTACCTTAAAAAGTCCCTCAAAAAACGAATAAGCATCCAAACTGATTTTCATGCAAGTGGAATATGCAGAAATTATAAATTAATACACCTTAGTCATGTGACTTCTACAGTCCTTCCTAGTTGCAAAATGTTTTCTGAGCGGTGAATATAGCTACAAACACATTTATATCGCACACACCACACACACACAATCTTTTTACAGTCTTTAAAGCTCTTTCCAAGCTATTATATTGCATTCAATGGAGTAATTCTGAAGAAAACGAGGCAAGAAAGTAGCTCCTGGACCCCTATAGTTTCTACCTGCCATCTACCTAATTTCCTTAAACTTACTAGCCCAGTTTTCTTTATGAAGCTAAGATTCATTTATCAACCTGCCTAATGAATGTATTGAGAATGAGATATTCAACAGGCATCCTGAATTCAACATATCCAAAACTCAATGTCATTTTAACTTCTAAACCTGTTTAAGTTCCTTCCTGTTTTACATCTCCATCAATTCTTCCATTCAACTAATAAACAAACCACAACAAACATACTCCCGTCTCCTACAAACTATCACAATCAGAGTTTCACAATCTGAGTTAACCCAGAGTCTTCCTTTGATTCAGTCACAAACACCTGCATATTTTACCTCTGAACAGATCTTGAAATCAATCTTTTCCTGTCCATCCCCACAGCCTGTTCTCAATTATGTGTTACTGGAACCAGTACTAGATTCCTAACTGTTGTTACAGGCTTTAGTCTTGTGCCCTGCAAACAAAATCTCCATGATGCTGTTAAGGTGATATCTGATCATCTTAAGTTGTGAATACAAATCAAAACTAAGGGGAAAAATGAGTAATCTTAGAATCAAAAGGCCTTTCTAAAAAATGAACAAAAGAGCCTCAAAGGAAAATATTACTGTATTATTTTTACTACATAAATATTAACTACCATCTTGGAAGGCAAAAAGAACAAAACCAAGACAGAAAATTATAAACAGAGAAAAAGGATCTGCAACACACATATTTAAGGCTACTTTCAAAATAAAAAAAGGGCAGCATGGTGTCATAATTAAAAGCAAATTCAAGTATCTAAATAATGGCTTAAAGGCAAATCCTGGTTCTCCCCCTTACTAACTCTGACTTTGGGCAAGTTTGGCTTCAGTTTATTTGTCCGTATAAAGTAGATAATAAGAATTTCTACCTCACAGTGAGTGTGGTTGCCAGGATTATGGAGAAAGGGCTTAAAACAGTATTTTGGATATAAGCACTATAAATGTATTTACTATTTAATATACAAAAATAAATTTCTAATAAAATATTGTCTAATAAATTAATAAAATAGTAAGAAAAACACAAACAGCAGACCAGGGATTGCAAACTCAGATTCATTCACTTGTTCAACAAATGTTTGCTGAGTACCAACTGTGTGCTGGTACTATTCCTTATGTCTGGGATACATCAGTAAATAAAAGAGCGAAATCCCTCCCTGGCATAGCCTGTTAGCCAGTGGAAGAAAACAAGCAATAATTAAAGTAATAAGTAAGTAATATATGTTAAAAGGTAATGTGGGGGCTTGGGGGGCAGGGATAGGGCACATGGAAGGAATTAACAGAAAACAGAAGACAGGGTGCAATTTTAAAGAGGATAGCTATGGGGCGCCTGAGTGGCACATTTGGTTAACTGACCCAGTCTTGATTTCAGCTCAGGTCATGATCTCATGGTTTGTGAGATCGAGCCCCACATCAGGTTCTGTACTGACAACATGGAACCTGCTTGGGATTCTCTCTCTCCCTCTCACTCTGCCCCTCCCCTACTTGTACTCTCTCTAGCTCTCTCTCAAAATAAAATAAATAAATTTTAAATAAATAATAAATAAATAACTAGTACTAACCTCAATAAGAAGGTAACATTTGAGCAAAGAATTAAGAAACCTACCTATGCAGTTATTTGGGAAGAGCACTTCACACAAATAGAAAAAGGAGGACAAAGGTACAAGGTAGAAGTGTGCATGACACACAAAAGGTACAGCAAGGGGATTGGTACGGCAAAGTCAGGAAGACAATAAGAATAGTAGGAGATAAAGTCAGAGAGGTAATAAGCTGCCACATGACACAGACCTTGTAAGTCAGGTAACGAAGGACTTTGGCTTTTATTCTAGGTTAAATGAAGAGCCACCATAGATTCCTGAACACAGGAGTACTATCATCTTTCCTTTTAAAAGGATCATTTGGCTATTATAGCGGAAAGGCAAAAGAAGTGGGGTGCCTGGCTGGCTCAGTTGGTAGAGCATAAGATTCCTGATTTCAGGGTCATGAGTTTGAGCCCCACATTGCA